ATACGTTAAAAAGTACTGTGCTAAGAAATTATGAGGTAAATGGATAAAATCTTAATGTGGGTCAATGCGGTATCATAAAGAATGTCTCATGGTAAGCACTCCATAAAATAGTCATTACAAGTAATAGAACACATATATTCACTCTTTCTTTTTCTCTTTCTCTCTCTCTCTCTCTTTCTCTCTTTCTCTCTCTCTCGTTATTTCTTATGCAAATTTACACACTAAAAAATTTTTTTTAATTTTTGATCCATTTGGATCACACAATTTTAAATAAAGTCATGTAATTTATTTTTAACATAGATTTTTAAAATATAATTTTTTATTATTCTGTATTCCTTTTTCCTCGTATTTTTTACTTTTTAATAATTATTTTAGTGAGTTATCTTTTATTTCGTTCCGCTGAAGCTTAAACAAAAATAATTTAAATTTAATAATTTAATTTCTGCAGATTTGCTTTCTGCTTTATGACAGACTGCATGTATATATTAGGTGGGAAAAAATTCGTGGTGTTTTTCCCGTTAGATGTAGCGGGATATACAAGCTAATTTATTAATTAATAATTTACGAGTAGTTCATTGATAGCTTAATAAAATTAATAATTTAATTCTAGAATATATCTTTTTTTTAAGCGTAAAGAAAATTCGCAGATAAATAGCGAGAAATTTGAACATTTTGGAATAGATAAACATTTAATTAATAATAAACATTTAATGAAAATTGCTTATTTATAGGCGAGGTTAATATTATTGTTTCAGGTATAGCAAGATGAGCTTTCGGTTGGGAACAAAGTAATTGACGAAAATGTAATTGAGTTAATAAGTGTAGAGTACAGTTACCAGATAATGAAATTAGCAATTAATGATGATTAGCAATTAAATAATAGATAATCAAAAAGGATCAGTAAACAATAAATAGTTTTGAAAAACAAAGTATATTTTAAAGTCTGCACAAATAAAACATATATATCCGAATTAAATTACGTATTTTATATCCTGCAGAAAGGGATATTTCATCTACCATTATCTTTTATAATTATGCAAATCTAAATTGATGTAACGATTATTATATTGTAAGAATATACACGCGAATATAATACACGTAACAAACATAAAAAATATATGAAAATAACGTGAAAGAAAATATGTACATTAAATATCTAGAGCGAGAAGTGTATACGTAGAGTAATTGTTACATCGACAATTTACAATAACGGTTATCTATGTGAAATTTTGCGCATACTTTTTTCTTATCGCAAAAATGCTGGCCGACGGGATAATATCGAAGTACGCACGTTATCTTGCACGCCACCATTAATGCACCGTGCGGTCTCGTAAATATTCTGACGAAACTTTGCGCTCCCATACGAAAATGAGGAATTATTATACGGGCACGTGAGACTCCCCGCAGGCATGCCTGGATCGAAAGCTTTTTCTCCAAGAAAAGACAATATCGGTGTAGTGAATATTACTTCGATCTTTATGTTACGAACTTACACGAAAATATATTAAATCTTTATAACATTAAGAAGTTTTAACGCAAATAATTTGCATAAAATTTTATACTGAAGAGTTTCAAATTTAATTAACTTATTTCTCGACTAAAGCGTTCTACGGATAAAAGAAAAAAAATATAATAAAAATTTTCAGTATATGGATTTTCAAAGGGAGTACTTTTAATATCTGCAGGAAAAGCGTTCCATTCCTTCAGGAGGAATTTTAAAGATAGATTATCTCCAATGAGGACTCGAAAACTCGATATATATTTAACGATGAAAGGTGGGAGCGCGTTAAAATTTCAAAAGAATCTGCGAATGTTTAGAGGAAAGTTAATCTCTTGCAGCCCTGTATCGAGGGTGCACTCGACACTGTGATTTACGAGAAAGCCTGTATTTTTCCCTACGCTTGAAACGGTGAATGATTACACCCGGCAAACTACATTGCTCGAATGTTTATAGAGTACTCTAAATGGCAGAAATCGATCATTGTATTGCTACGAAACACTGGTCAACTTAAAATAAAGACAAAATATTTAACATATTCCCATTTTCGAGCGGAATTATTGGTTGTGAATCCCAAAGTTGTATAGAAAGCAAACGTTTTTCATCGTTTCATCATGATTCTCTTATAAAATTAAATACTTGTAATTTTTTAAATTATAAAACTTCTTATAAATTTTTTAAATATAAAAAATTGATATATTTATCAATAGGAAATTAGCATACAATGTTTCGTTACATTTAACAGAAGTCGTATTAATACGAAAAATGGACTAATGGAATAATTAATGTACAAAATTTAATATAATTAAAAATATATTCTTTATTTTTAATTCTCTCCTAAATGTTTTTATTTTGATCCAAATAAAAGATTATAAAAATAGCTTCTTGTTTTGAAAAATGTAAAAAACATTAATTAATTTTTTAATTACATATAGTCCCAAAGAATCATTGAAGATAAAATCAACTACGTTTTTTCTGCAACGACCGAATAATTTGAATCGATTTAGAAATGGATTACAGACCACTAAAAACGATCGCGAGTACTGCGACTATATTTCCGTTACAATGATTATAACGATAATGGGAAGGTCGGAATTTGGCAATTACGAAGCGCGAAGTACGTCGATCATAGTTGCCGACGGCAAACTTCCTAATTGAACGCCGCTCGTTAAACTTACTCACATCTGCCGCGCGGTGCATCTGCTAATTAACGGTGGCTTGGTATTTTTCAAACAGACTACCCCGAAGGCGAAGTTAGAGCTTTTTACTCCATGTTAAATACTACGAGTTAAGATCGAATTTCATTGGCAGGAGATCTCGTTTTTCGTCCATTCGAGGTAATAATCGTTCCATAGATTGTTAAGATCTGGGATGTCATGACGCAGATCACGATCGCAAAAGGAAAGACAGGCTTTTCCGGAAATAAAAAATAAAGATTGAGAGCTTGAGTATCGAAATAATAGCGATTTTTTAATGACGCATCAACATTCTTACAAATACTAAAGTATTGATAATCGGAAAGTCGCTGAAATTAAATAGCGGTTATTTTGTAAAAGAGATAGAATGAATTAAACACAGTGTTTGCTGTAGAAAAGATCTCATTGTTCTTATTAGCACATAGTGCAAGAAGGATATTTAGTTTCAGCAACTTCCCAATTGTCATCCTGTGTATAACTGAAAGTATTAAAATTCTTGGGCACTGGATGTTAAATGTCAGATATCAAATTCATTATAAGTAACTACAGCGTGAACGTTGGAAAGTCGAGCAACGAATATTCGAAATGCAAACGAGACCAATCTGCTAGAGTCACAAGGAAAATGTTGGTCGTGCATCCCGCTGTCCGCGTTTGCACCAGCGATGTAATTAAAATGTCAACGTACTGCGACGATACTAAACGCAACCCTTTGCTTAGTTTCTTCACTATATATATTGTAACATACGATGTATGCATGAGCTTTTACGATTTGTTTCCTTAAGTCGACGGAAAGCTCGCGACGATGGGCGCCAACAAACGCCGGGGCTCCGCGCCAGCGCGTCGAAAAGAAAACAGTCTACGTAGAGTTCTCTCCCTTTCGAGCGACTTAGCCTGGTTTCAACGCATCACGAAGCACAACCGATACGAACGAATATATCTCGACACGGGAAATTAGTTGCAAAACCGCGTGCTATTTTAGTTACAATTTGCGAACGAAAATTGCGGAAAAAATCACGTGATCCACTTTTTTTCTTTTTATGATATCATTAAAATTTCCATCTGCAAATTTGAAATCGTAGAGATTCCAAAAAGAAGGTACATTCTTGTAAAAAATATTTTCTCATTAAAATTTTTTATATTAAAATATTTAGTTTTTTGACGATAAAGGATGTAACTAAAAAAGTAAAATTGAAATAATTTTACTTTTTTAAATAAAATGATTATTTAATTATTTGAAAGAAACAAAGCAACAAAGATTTTTATTACGCGTTTAAAACGCACATGTGTTTCTAGAAAATGTTTTTTTCAAAATTAATAAGGCACACATAATGATTAGGAAAAGTTGGAATATGGACAAACGTATACATATTTCAGTTTAAAGATCGCGGAATGATCGTCAAAAGTTAAAGAAGATAAAAAATCAATTGCGTACATACAGTCTAAGAAGGTTGGAAAAGAAGAATGGAAAAGGGACAGAAGAAAATATTTTTTCTAGACGGAATGTGAGGTAGAGTCTTATACAAAGTTTTTATCTGTGTCTTCTAGTTCAGTCTGGAAGAAGAATTTTTTAAAAAGAATCTGGGTAGAATTCACAAAGATAGTGTCTACTGATTTCCCAAGGGGAGTAATCCCTCTCTTCTACCTTTCTTCTTTTAGAAAAGCCATTTCTGCTCCTTCTTCTTGTGAATCTCTTGAAATTGAAAGGCAACTATTGTCATTAAAATCAAAAGCTTTATCGATTTCTAAATAGAAACAGAACGAACAGAGAGTTTGAAAACTGTTTATAAAAAATTGTTTGTAATTCGTTTATCCTTAAATCATAGTAGCCACTTGTCTTTGAACGATTTCAACATAATTATTAAAATTTTACAAAAAATTACATAATTACAACTTGAATGATTTGACGATTCAAATTCTAAAGAAAGATATTATATATATATTCGTCGATACATATTTTTCGATATTTACGGAATATAAATCTTTTTTTCATTTCGATTCTAACGAGTCGCAGTATTTTAAGGATTGTTAGATTGCAGCGTAATTTTTCTCCAATCGAGCTTCTATCTCTTCTGTGAAACGTTCTATAGATCGTTATTGCCGCCAATTTTACCTCGAGTCAGAAATACTTGAGCAATTCGTTAGAGAGATTGAAGAATTTGTTAGGTCGCACGCTTCGGTGATCGCGGGGGGGGCAATCTATAGCGACGTACCCGCGGTTATTTGTATGCAAAATACTGGGTCGTTGGCACGACGAGCTACCATCATCCCCGGGGGTTGTCATCGCTGATCGTCGGTCTAAAGCTTGTCTCGGACAAGCGAAGCGAGCAACGTAGTCCCCACGAGTTCTTCTTCTCGTGCAAAGCCGATGGGATAACTTCCGGACGCGCGCCATTGTTTCGCGTCGGAGAACTTGGCCGAATGAAGTGATAGACTGCACAGAGAGAACCTTGTTGGGAGATGAGTCAGAGAGCGACACTGCAGTCATGATTAAGAGGAAACAAAGGTGTACTCACAAATTACTATCTTTTCCCATCTTTTTATAAATCTGAACTGTTATTGAAGTTCCACCCTTCTTTTTTCTTCCAAGTATATACTTTCATAAAACACTTGTATGAATTATGGGAAAGCCACAGAGAGAATTTATAGTACCAGTCGTCTTTCGCACGCTATATTTTTTTTTGTACGTTATAACATATACATACTCTTATATCATTTGTATGTATGTACTATGAGAAAACTAATGTGTGATGCATAGTATATTTATTTTATAGTAAAGTATATTGTGAACTTATGGTTTAATTAAAATAATATTAAGGTAGACTTGCTAAAATGCAGGATAATGAAAACAAGATACTGGAGATTTCACTTCCTTTCCAATAGAACGGAATTTAAAATAAAATGAAGAAAAATTACGTAATTCCAGTGACTCTCCAACGAAAGGCTTCCTGATTTTTCTCGATTTTTTTAGGAAGAGACAAATTTCTTAATTTTTCCTGATTTTCCAGAAGAGTGATAATCCCAACGGGAATGTCGGGAGAAAAAGAAACGTTCCTGTTTTACACTTTATGTTTCAAGTAGAACAATATCGTTCCGAAGTGAAGCGGAAGAAGTAAGTCAGAGCAATCCGGAACAAACAGTAAAAATACCCGTTTCCAAAAGCACAGGAAGAAACAAGGGAGGAACTTTGCGCGCGAGTACCTACCGATACAATAAATGCATCGACCCGAGAGGAATTTATCGCTCGTGGGAAATTCGCAGACGCATCTTTCTCCGAAAAACCGTAACCGGAAAAGCAAAGGAAGTAAAAATATTTTCCGGGAGGAGCGACGTTGAGATAAAAAACTTGGCGTAATTGAAAGACAATTACGATTGGACCCGAAAGGAGAGTCGAGTATCTCGCCTGCTCTCCGTGGCGCGTCTGACGATTGAATATTTCAACGGTGCCATTAAGAGTCGACACGGGCACGGTTCAACGGAGTACTGGAATAAGGATCGTCGAATTAACAAGCATGCCATCGTATCGGATTTCTGTCCGATGCATACTATCGTCGGGCAGACACGGAATGTCATTCCCGGAAGAGAAAAACGAGAGAACTCGAGCATAGAAAGAAGAAAGTGGTTAATTTAATTCGTCGCCGAGACAATAACGACCCGCAAGAAGAATTGTTTTGTGTGTGTGTGTGTGTGTGTGTGTGTGTGTGTGTGTGTGTGTGTGTGTGTGTAAAAAATTGTATACGGAGTACTTTCTATCGAGGATGCTAGGGAAGTCCACTTGTTGTTTATAGTAATACTTGACTGACGATTATGTTGAACTATAAAAATATAGAAGAATTTTGTATAGTGGAGAAGGAGAGAAAACAATACAGAAAGATAAGGGATGGTGAATTGTAATAGTTTTTTTATGTTTCTCAAGAGAGAGGCTATTTCTATAATTTCATTTCAAATAAACGTAGGAAGTTAATTGTTAGAAAATACTTGTGTATATTTATACATATTTTCTTTTCTAAATTAAAAATCGCACAGTGGTGTAACATAAATTTTCTAATTTTTTCTACTTACTGTAAAAATTTACTGTAAAAGTACTTCGCGCACCAACTAAAGCATATTTTTATAAAATAACCATATGATTTTGACAAGATGATTTGATTATCAGAAATCATTAATATTTTACAAGACTGTCGTAAAATTGAAATCTTCGTAATATTTTATATGTAACGATCATCTATTAACGTATAATATACAATAAGACATTTAGTATGACTCATAGAAGTTATAGATATAATGAGGTTATTGATATAAAAAAAAATATAATAAAAAAATGAGCAACAAAAAGTATGAAATCACTTGAAAGGAAACAATTCTTATTATCGAGAACATTTTATAAGGATATGTCTGTGATTGGATAGATTCAATTGGATTCAATTAGATTGCAAAAATTCTCTTTTTATAGGATTAAAAGAATTCGAAATCGTATGGCAAATCTCTCGACGAAAGACAAATAGAAAAAGAAGAAGGTAGGAAAACTCTGTCGGACACGTATAAGCATTTATCGATTAATGATGCACTCTTTTTATCACACGAAGATGATATTTTGTCGAGTAATATTTTCAAAGAGGAATTTAATATTTGACTCGCGGAAGTCTATCGTGAAAAGATGAATACATAAGTATGACATGTAATCGCGAAATGACAAATAAGATGGAATAAAACACGGATATATAGCGATTCGAAATTAAAAATCCTTCGACTTTCGGTTAATGTGTTGACTTTTTTTCCAGTAAGAGAGAGAAAATTGGATCAGACTGACGGGAAAAATAAACAGTGATGACGCAACGTTTTAGCATGCAGCATGAATTAATAATCGAACATTTCTAGAACAAGAGATTAACTTGGAGAATGAAATACATTTGATAATTGTGCGCTTAGTAAATGCATTTAGTAGTATCTATAATTTATACTTTTCCAAAAATGTCACAAAATGTACTTTTATGTATAACGTGAACATTAATATAAATTATAATGACAAAAATTACAAAAATTAGTACAATGACAATTCTAACTTTTTCAATATCTTTATCAATATCTCCGTAAATATTTTTATCGTTTATAAAAATTAAATTGACTATGGAATAATCGATCTCTCTGAGGCAAAGAATTCAATTTAAAATATTTAAATGGCATAGCAATAGAAAACTTCCGTATTGTTCTTGACAACAATAATCACTTCGGTAAAACTTGACTTTGGTATTTGGTGCCACGACTTCGGAATTAATATTCAAGATGCAAAGCTCCCAAGGAAGACATCGAAAGCGTGTTTCGCAAGCTTGTCGACTCGCTCTGATGTCCTGAAAGATATCTATTATCCCATTTAAAAATTAGCATCGGAAAGGCGATTTATTCTTCGTTATCTTGCGCTTCGCGTGTCTTCTCGTTCTTCTCTCTCTTTCTCTCCCTTTCTCTCTCTCTCTCTCTCTCTCTCTCTCTCTCTTGTAAGAAAAGAGACACATATAGAGCAAACCCAAGGCTTTGAAGAGCACGTACATGAAGAGCACGCTGGTAAATCGGGGGATGCACCGCTCCTCTTATGAATTCCGTTTCATCTCGTTAATGCACTTTGCCAGAGTTCGGGGACGAAGTTACGGCAGCGTTGGTGTTACGTCCGATCGAGGTACTCGTATCGAGATGCAGATCGCGAGAGAGAGAGAGAGAGAGAGAGAGAGAGAGAGAGAGAGAGAGAGAGAGAGGGGGGGGTGATACAAGCTTCCTACATATCTTCATTAATATTCGTTTGAATTGTGAAACGGAAACTTCAACGTGCGCATGCAACGTGCATGCATTTCGACGCTTTATTTAGTTCTGCTACTTGTGATACACTTTGAATTTCAATAATATCAAGTTTTTACTATGTATATTATATTGTATAAAATATAAAAAATTGTCTATTACATTTAGATTTTGTTTTTGACAATTGCAGGAACAATTCTCTTAAATTTTAAATATATCTTTAAATGTATGTTATGTACATACATGTATTTTGCTATTCCTTATTAAATAAAATACAGAGCAAAAGAACTAATCATATTTTTTGATTATTTCATCTAAAGCAAAACAGACTTACTCGTTTTTAAACCATTATAATGAAAATGTACTCAGAAAGTTTCAATTTGCTTTTATACAAAATCAACATGTTTAATAGTTGAATATCGAATTAAAATGACATTCATTCTTATACAAAAAAGTTTTTAAAAAATGTTTGTTTTTGCGAAATATAATATTTAAATTTTTTTGAATAATGAATTTGTGGAAATGCAAAAAATGAGAAAAAATTTATATAACATGATCGTACAATGTTAAATCATATAGAATGTAACAAAAATAATTCATAATATAAATTTTGCATTTAACAAAGAGTCATACAAAAATAGAAAATCAAATAGCATATAAAATTTAACATTTGGGATTATAGAACTAAAAATACGTTTCAGTTTTCATTGTCAGATCAAGGATAGATTATGAAAATGATTTCCTATCCTAAGAAATATATATAACGTTACTTGCGTGTGTGTGATCTTTTTCTATTATGTATAATATATTTTATTACCTTCACGGAAAAAAACACAGCTGAAAACTTCACTGATTCAGCAAATCTACAATCGTAATATACAGACAGTCAATTTTCTATGTTAAAATAGCAAAGTTGATGGCTGAATAACATTCAATAACGATTTGTTAAACCATCAAATCTTCTGTCAATGTTGAATTCGCGTAGTAAATTATAGGTTTGCTGTACCACCTAATTAATTTTTTTCCGTGTTAGACATTATCTATAAATTATATATACATAATATTTCTCTCGTGCAACACTCTAAAATTATTTGTAAGAGCGAAGATTAAATTTTGTATTAGCAGTGTTAGTTGGAAAAAAAACGTAAAAACATTGTAAAATCATTGATTGTATAATCATTGATGTATAATAATTGATGTATCATTCTTTGGTCACATAAATTAAGTTTTACATACATATACTTATTAAAAATAATAAACTCCTTTTTTATCGTGTTCATGTATACATTGTTACTGAATTTATCGTGGAAGTCATCTTTGGTGTTTACTACGGCGTAAAAATGTGCAAAGTGACTTTTTTTACGAGGGACGAAATTTAATTAGTACGGTCGATTCCATCCGGCCGCGACGGCAATCCCGGTTAAAAGTTGCGCGGACGATTCCTGTCTGCGGAGACTTTAATTCCTCAAAAATTGCCGGAGAGGAGATGCGAGAGGGTAAGTAATAAAAAGACGCGCACATCAGGAGACGCGTCAGACACTGAAAGAAAAGAAAAAAAAAGGAGAGAGAGAGAGAGAGAGAGAGAGAGAGAGAGAGAGAGAGAGAGAGAGAGAGAGAGAGAA